ACATTTGCTTAAATTTGTTATTTTTACTGCTGAAAACGAATTCGGGCCATTTTTAGAAATGGGCTTCTTTTTGTTGACAGTATTATGTTACGTTTTTATACCAACACCGTTTATCGACAGCCTATTGGGCATACTTATTTGTTTTGCGATTGCCTTCATTTTGTTTCCTCGAAGAGAAGAGAAAACTCGAAAAAGTAACGATGAAAATACCATTAACCTTAATGAACACAACTATAGTGCCGGAACGAAGGTACATAATTTAGATTTCTTTGATTCATGTGCTGATATTCATGAACATAATGACGATTCCTTTGATGTGGATATAGACAATGACACCCATCTTCTCCAAATTTCTAACGAAGCTTTTGATAATAATCTTCTAAATTTGCATATCGATAGTGACACTGACCACATCGAACGTTTTGCCAATGATTTCAATAATAATCCCACTGAAGTTTACCATATAAGTGATGAAAATCAATTTAATTACCTTCCATCAAAAGAAACAGAAAATAATTCAACATTGGAAAACTCAGTTTGAATGCCTCTATTAAATCATTGGATGCTGAATGCATTGTATCGCATACCGATCTTGGAGCACAAGGGGACATCAATTTCGGCAATCTCATCAACACAAATAATGAACCAGAAATAAATAGCAAAATGGATCAAGTAGACAGATTAGAAGTGAAACCAATTCAAGAATTTCAAGAACGCCTTATTGATATCGTCGTTGATACCGTCGCTGTTATCTACGTTGATGACGAGAATACTCAACATCCTTCATCACAGCGCAGCAAGCGTTTCACAATTTCAAAATTAAGAAAAAATTTACTGAAATATTTTTCGCTTTAAAAAAATCAAAAATAAACATAACAGTTTAAAGCATCATATCAAGATCTCAGCTAAGTTTACATAATTTCTGTTTATGTTTGTCGTAAATTTGTTCGAAATGACACCAATCTCATTGGCTGACTAAAAATTGGACATTGACTGACCAATGACTGACTAAGTGATGATCTCATTGACTGACCAGTGACTGTCTAAGTGACGATCTCGTTGACTGGCCAGTGACTGACTAAAAATTGGACATTTACCAACATACAAGAACACAAAAGCTGAGCTCACCGAGGCAGTTAACAGAATAGGTATTTATACGTGTATATATATATATATTAAAAAGTATCAAAAAAGTAATTTTCTTATTATAAATTATATATATATACAAACACATTTGGTGTGGGCGATTGAAACCAAAAAAGCAGCCACACAACTACAAGTTATTACAATCCCATATACAAAATTTCAACATTCTAAGGGTAATTATTTTTGAGTTATGTGAGATACATACATAGTGTCCAGCAAAGGAGTCCCTGATTTCAAAATTAAAAATCTTGAAAACAAAGATAAATAGAGAAATACAACACGATATATTTATTGTGAAAACTGTAAGAGTGTTATACAGATGTTTCCAAGTAATAGTTACAAAAGCTGCAAACACATGGCACTATCATCGCAACACACAGTGCATATAAATAGTGTTCCAAAAGACGTACGAAAAAGTCTGTGGAATTCATCAAAAATGAACTGGACTTTCCAAAATTACCTAAAGGCTACTACCAGAACCACTGATCCTGGATGGAAAAACGTTCGTAAACTGGCTATGCATGCGAAAACTGGCGAAGAAAAAACACGTTCGATAAATCAAGGCAAAAATCACTACTCTACTAAAATTAGTTTTCAGTACTTCAAAATCTGAAGCTGTTAGCAATGGCAATCAACTCATCATGAAAGAATTGGTCACAAAAGCGAGAACTGCAATAAATAAATTTAAGGTAGCCAAATCAAAGATGCCTATTTTAACTCTTCACGTCAAAGTTGCCATTTATTTCACGTCAAAGTTGCCTATTTTAACTCTAACGGAGTACAAAAACAAAAGGCAAAAGTTGAAACTTTCTTACAACATATAACATAGATATTTTCCTCATAAATGAAATACATCTCTGTGCTAGAGATAGATCTTCTATACTTGGATTTAATATAATTCATAAAGACTGCACTCACAATCAGGCTGGAGATGATATTAATTAGAAATCATGTCAAATTTACTCAATATTCTCTTCCTAGTCCGCTTAGACTTGAAGCTACAGCTGTTCTGATTACAAGTTCCATGAAAAAGTCATTTCTTTTCCACTCCGTTTTAACCTTTCAAATCAAGCTATCACTAGATCTGATTTATTAAAACTAACTGCAACAGACTATCCCACTTTAATAGCAGGGATCTTAACTCAAAACATTTAAGTTGGAATTCCAGTATCAACAACAGCAATGATAGAATGCTTTTTAATTTTGCAACCGAATTTGAATTAAAAATTTCTGGACCTTACTGCTCACACTAGGATTTAATACACAGAAGTTTTGGTCATTCTTATTACTAAAAGACTCATTCATAAACCTCATCTGCAATTCATTGAATAATTAAGCTCCAACTATTTTCCTGTTGCTTTTACTTTCTATGCTATGTACCCCCCTTCTTCAAAAAATAAGAAAATTATCGACTGGAAAAAATTTAATCACTTACTTAGTAATATTAACTGTGCACCTCAGCAATATCTCAGACACCGAGCTTGAAATCACTCGGTTCAACAATGCCATTAAAAATGCAATTAATTCCTCCTCTAGAATAATTACTCAAATCTAAATGCCCTGCCCTATTTTATTTTAGAGAAAATTAAAAATAAAGTTTGCAAATGATGGAAAATTACCCTTGATCCAAGTAAAAAGAAATATTTAGTTTCCCAGTTCAAGAAACCAATGATTTAATTCAAATTATCGTACTGATAAATAGGAAAACTTATTAAAAACATGGAGATTCAAAAGGAACTGTTTGGAAGATTGCTCATTCTCTACGCTCAAATAGTCACCCCCAATTCAGCCCTCTGCAGTATAATAATTATACAGTTTATACCGAACAAGTAATTGCAGATTTCTTTGCCACTAACTTTGAAGAAAATTTTATAAACAATTTCATTTATAACCAATCCCATGACAACTAAATTCATAATGAAGGAAAAAATTTTCTTGAAAATAATAACAATAGTGGTATTACACCTGCATCGCCTTCAGAAATTCAGAAAATAATGTTATCATTTATAAAAAAGAAAATGTTTAAAAAATAACCTTCATACATTACTGTATGTGTTAATTTATTATTTCATAGAACAAATAATCCTAGATAGGCTGTATTTGCTTGTTGGAACTTTGAAAGTTTTTCCAGAAAATGAGTTTTTCAAGCCTTAGAACTGACCCCACCCCCACCCCACCCCCTATTTTTTTAGAAGATGCCAGTACTGCTATTTCCCACAAGACAATTGCATAATTGAAAAAGTGTATAAATAGAAGCTTAGGTGAGTTCAGAGTTGAAACTTAATGATAGTTTCATAGCAAATGATTGCTAAATTTACAGAGCTCTGAGAATGATAGTTCTGTGAAATCTGTGAAAATGTTGAGGAGAATCATTAGGACAGGCCTATCAGGAAAACGTCTTGGAATCTGGCTATAGAACTCTATGGAATTATATTATTTACTTTAAGAACATGAGGGTAATCTCTCTATTCTTCATCCCATTTTTGATAGAATTTTGATTTTTTGGGCCTTTGAGAATTTTAAATCAAGGTATATATAGTTTCAGAACTAAGATAATTACCTTATTCTACACAACAAAATTAAAGACATTTTAATTGAAGAATTATTTGAAATATATATATAAAACAATTTATTCTCCAAGCTTAAATTATGTAAGTAAATTAAGTGTGTGGGGGGAAGGGGGAGAATTACAAACTTAAAGAGAAAATACATTTCAATTAAAAAAACAAACAAAATAAATTGTGAAAGGTTTCAGATTTTAAATTACGTCCAAAGGGGCTTTTATTTTTACATTTTGTGCATTACCGTTATTTATTTAATATCATGTTCTTCGCACTTAAACCATAAAATTCAGTTCAAGAGCAATATCGTTAAATAATTTTAAATTGAGCGTATCTTTGGAATTTCCAATACACAGTGTCATGCCCTGGAGATAAAAATGTTTTTCCTGAACAGCGTTGCCATTGCTCGCTTTGAAATCCTTGAGTTTGTTAATCAAAAATTCGTTAAAGTTTTACAAAATATGAAATAAATAATAAAACCAATTCTAAATTTTATATTTGGGCTTCCAGATGCCCATATTCACAGAATGACTACATCATTCAAAATTTTATAGTTCTAGGTACCATTGTTTTATCAGAATGCGAGAAACATACATACATTTATGCAAATTCTTCATAATTTAATTTCTTCAAATATAATACAGGGTGCTATATATTTGGTGGCAACAGTTTGAAAAGTGAAATAGACATTCAGAGTGATTTGAAGCAAAATTGCAAAACAAAAACAATAGTCCATCAAGGACAAAGCCCCTTCGGGCTAATAATTTAATAGATCAAATAATAATATGCAAAAGAATGATACTCAAATAAAAAAACAGTGAAAAATAAGTTAAAACTTTGAACACAAAAAAGAAAGCATAAAATTATAATGCAAAAAAGATTTCAAGAGCATTCTGAGATTGAAAATAAATTCTGATTACAATTAATTAAAAGATTGATGTTTTGGATTAAAAAAAAAGTAGAGATAATTTGTCTGATATTGTATGTTTTGCACTTGCTTCATCACTTATACATTTACACATTAATTGTGAATCTCTGCAAACTTTTCATTTTAAATAAATTCCTAATTTTGCACATATATTCTTCTGCTTTTAAGATGAATTCTGAGATTATGTAATTAACATATATAAAGAAATTATCTGTTCAAGTTTCACGACTCTGTTAAAATAAGCAAGGTTGTTCATATCGACAGTAAATAGATTCTTAAAAATAACTGAAAAAATTTCTTAGCATTCGAAAATCATAAACATGGTAAAGAAAAGGAAGCTAAACAACACAGAAATTAAATTCCAATTTTAGCATATTTTTTTTATTTAATCCAACTAATTGCATAATATAAATTAACGGTAAAATTAGCGCACAGATTCAATCTAGGGAAAGCATTACTGGTTATGGTTTTATAAATAGTGTGTTCATTTATATACTGTTTCTCTCATTTAAGAGCAGTAAAATTACTTTGGAAGCAATGAATGCCAGATACATAAAAATTCCAAACACAAAGCATAAAAAGTGCAGTTCACAGCAGAAAAGGCAAATGAATGGAAGAAGAAATTTCTAGTTTTAATTAGAAAAACAGCCATCTCATCTATTAACAGCTTGAATATAAAAAGCTTACATTTAACATTATCTAAGATTTTAGGGGGAGGGAGGCATTTATACATAAAAGCCAACATATTTTCATAAACCTTAAATATATGAAATTAAAGCATCTTACCTAATAACAAAATTTCCATCAAAGTTTCAAGAAATTCTGCCTAATTTACACCAATTATTTCAACAGAAGTTAGAAAAACTAACCACAGCTAACCACTATTTATTTTGATAATCAAGGCACACAAGTTACGGATATAGCATTTAAAACAAAAGACAAAAAACAGAGATATACATACATAACTAAATAAAATTTCTCATCGGAACTTTTTACATTCTGATGTACAGTATAGTTTTTAAAAAAAATCAATTTTCAAATAAAGTCACAAATCATGTTCATTAAACACACACTTTTATTAATACCAGAATTGCATAATTTTGAAAATGCTCACACTGTATGCCATTCTATTTAGGGCAGGTTTCAAAGTTAATTTTTTTCCCCCAAAATTCAAGACGAAAACAGATAAATAACAGTTAACTTATATCCTTCTTTAAAAGAGCTGAAGCAGTGGATTAATCAAGTTTACATGAAATGAAGAGCTTATGACTGTATCATAGCATCATGATTATTTATTAATGGCATTAAATCAGACAGCCTTGTGACAGATTTTGTCTCGAGTTATCATTCTATACTGTCTTTAGAAGTCTTTTAATTCATGTTTCATAAAAATTATTTTGGTTACTTGAGCTTTCTAGCTAGTTGAATGTCAGATGATCAAGTTTTTATTGTATATAACTGTATTTAAAAAACATATTTTCAAATTCAGTAAATCTTGATTAAATAGTTCTTAAGGCATGAGTATGTTTTGGTTAATTTATTTATATGGCAATAACCAAAATTCAAAGTAAAAATTAGAAAGGCAAAAATATGAAATCAGCCTATAATAATAATAATAAAAGCTTATAACTTTCAAATTTTAAAAATATTTTCTTAGTCCCAAGGTAGGCTGATTATTAGAATTCTGCTAAATTTATTACTCTTCTATTTAATTCATAAATTTAATACACTGCAATATTTGTACACATAAACAAATCACAATGACTGTTTTCTGTAAGTTTTATTTTGTTAATTTAAAGTATATACATGAATTGACTTAATGCTATTTTTATTTAAATGTGTACATGAAAACATTTAAAGCTCTAAATACACAGACAATACAATTATTTAGTATGCTGCTATAAACATTAACGTAATTAAAAGTATTGGTGAACACAATTTATGTATAATTTACCTACATTATTTTTGCTTGAAAAAGCTAATCAAAGAGGCTTGCTTCCTATTAATATAATGACTTCTGTTTACAGTTTCATCAGAAATTAACTCTTTTGCTTTTGCTTTCAGTGGGTCTTCTTCATCTTCTGATGCAGAAACAAGTTCTTTTTTAGTTTTAGTAACTGTAGATACAGAAAACGAATTAAGAATATTATCAATATAAAAAGTTTTGCATGCTGATAGCAATAAAGAATGCATAATTTTTGTATACCTAAGTACTGTGCATAATTAAGAAAATTTCTTTGCTTATACTTTTGCAGAGAGGAATATATTGAAATAAAATATAATTGAAACTAAATAATTATATAAATTAGTTTAAATAAATATATTTTACATTATATTTTATTCAGTTTTTCAAACATATATCATAACCTATGCATATGATACATTTTCTAACACTAATGTATAACATGCATTAATTACGAGAATTAAAATTTTATTGGAAATTCTGAACACTAAAATCCTAATATGATGCAAAAGCGCAAAAAGAATAATCACAAATATTTTTGATTAAATTTTACAATTAAAACACATTTAAATAGCTCTAATTTTATTTGATATCTATACTGGTGATAAATAAATATGATACCCAGTCTTAGTTTTTGAATGCAATAAAAAGATAAAAAGTCCGCACTAGCAACAGTATTTCATACTAATTCGTTTCTATTTAAATTTCATATACACTTATCACATTTTAAAATTCTATTGAAGACAGATTTAACTAAGTTTCACAAGAAGTAAAAAAAACCCAGCAAATTGGTATCTTTACAAAAGATATAAAGTCCGTAATCTGGACTCGTCAGGACTTCGGCGATTCTGGATTAGGGGTTTTTCCAGATTATAGATCATCAATTTAAATCTGGTAAGATAGCATGCAGAAATTATACAATTAAAAATATGAAACATAATTTATGAAATAAAGAACAATTAGATCTAAAGGGTATCAAAATTTACAAAAGAAAAAAAAAAGCTTAATATTATTTGTTTACTTACTAAAAACATTCTTTCAATGTAAGTGGTTTAAGATGCTTCCACGAAAAAATTCAAAAGTTCCTTTTCCTGTGTCATATAAGTGGACTTCCAATGCCATACTTCTCGCATATTTTAAGACGGATAGGCCTTATCAATTTTTTTGCCAGCAATTCCACTTTTTGTTTAATGGACTCTGAAACATGCTTTCACTTTGTAGATCCTTTGGCAGCTCCGAAAATGGAAACTCTTTTTGACATAATCGAAAATTCAAGCTTAATTTTTATAAAATTGTTCTAACAGTCTGCAAAAAATAATAAGCCAGATCCAATTAGAAGATTAAGGAACAGTGCAATCTGCAACATTAACTGAAATGCCTTATATAATTTTAGCTTAGCTTATGCTGTCCGTACTTATAGATTAAACGTGCATGCATAAACGCATATGCGCATGCGCAAAATGCATTATGCTTTTACGCATGCGCATAAAGTTTGTAGCTTTGAGGTCCGGATTACAGACTTTGTACTGTATTACATCTCTTTAATTGTTTTTATGGCTAAGAGTTCTTAAAAGAAATGAAAATAGGCAACATTATCTAAACCAAGGATTTTCACCCGGGGAGCTAATTTCATAGTTTTATCCTTTTATTTAGCCTTTAAGCATTTAGTTTTAGTTTATGAGCATAAAAAACTACATTGATTTAAGTTTTCGGACTTACCATTATTTTCCTGCTTAATTTTTCAAACACATTTAAAATAATCTAAATTTAAACAAATGCATATTGTTTGTTTGTTTGGGAAAGGGGGATGGATTATCTTAGCAATAGCAAAAAGGGTCCATGGGACAAAAAAGGTTGAAAACCACTGATCTAGACCTATGGCTCCCAAATTTTCGAGAACACAACTCACTTTTGAGACCAGACCTTTGTTTGTGACCCTTACCTTAATTCAATAAATAAATAAATAAAACAAAGAGATTGTATAGCTCAAGTTGTTTGCTTTAACTTAACTCCCCCTTCAAATTCAAAATTGTGCATTTTCTTTATTCATCATTTAGATAGCACTGAAATCTTCCAGAAACAGCTCAAAAAAGCTGAATAAGATAAATGACACGTTGTTTTTAGCCTGTGTTCCATACTGTTGAGTAATACCCGTAATGTGGGATATTAAACAGTTAGCACAAAATTAAATGCATTTCATTAAAACAGAATAATAAAAAAAAATGTATGAATCTCCTACAAAGAATGCAAGAAAGAAGGCAATGGAAAGAATAAAAAGAAAAATAGATAACACAGAAGAAAATGTCTCAAATACAGTTTTATATTTATTTCCAGATAATCTCAATGCATAAAATTATTAGGAAGTATTGTCACAAGAAAGTATGAAGTTATCAAAGGTACTTTGCATTTAAATGCTGTTCATCAAAAATAAGAGATAGCCCTATAAAATTCTTAGAAAGTTACAGTACCTCTGAAGAGAGAGGATAAAAAAATGAAAATAAAAAATTTAAACGGCAGTTGTTGTTTTCACAAAAGTGTTGATAAAAAACTTTAGCAATCAAGCTGTCCAGTTGTTTCCATATTGCAAAAACTAATAAGTTAACAAACTGCTGAAAATTTGATTTTACTACCAACTGTAGCTATTATGCAGATAAGACTGGAAAAGTATAAAATAAGTTTAATGCAACACCTCCCTTCAATAATACAATTTAAAGCATATTGAAATGCCAGAAGACTCTTAAGAAGTAAGCTGTTAAAAACACTTTTTCATCACAAATGAATAATAGACATTTCCAGATGCCAGTTTTGCAGTGCATACTAATGAAAATAATGGTACAGAACATATTTTATTTTTAATCTACTACAAGGCCATACTACTACAAAAATGTTTCTTCCCCATTTCAATACAATATACTCATAATTACAGTATTGATTAAACAAAATATATAGCTGTATATAGGGCCAAGTCAGTGATGGGTCATCAAAAAAGATACATTGTCAGATTAAAGAGCTAATGCAAAACGCTATATAGACATACTGCTATTTTCATTAAGAAGCTTACATGGAAATCATTTTTGACTGAAATGAAGTTATTTAAAATCTATGATTACGGTAAATTCTTGTCATAAAAGCTACAAACTCATAGTATGAGTTGCCACTTAAAGAAGAGAATGAAATTCCCTGACTTTTCCAGGTGTGTTTTGAGAAAATTCCAGTCTATCCGCATAGTGCGCGTTGGCTGTGCTGAGAGGTAAATTAATTATGGTACCACTTGAAAACACAAAAATTTGCCAATTGCATATGACTTTTTATATATATAATCCTGAAAACATTACTATTATTATAGCTATAATAGGAGTTGTTTTCTCCACTGAAGATTGAGATTAGAATCTGTCCAATCTGGATTAAAAAATGAGTTTTTTCGCAGACATTTTGCAGCTAAACGAAAGAAAGAAATCTATTTAATGATATTTTAAAATTAAAAAAATTTTATATTTATTTAGCAGCATACATAAACAAAAATATGTGCATTAAATTTCGTGATAGTATGTCATCATACTACTAGATTTAGTTTCAGAATTATGGCAGAGAAATTTGTCTGAAATTTGAAAGTATTATTAACTAATAATTAATAAATTTAGAGGAAAGAACACTAAATGATATAAATAATATTAAAATGAAGTTAATTGCTTAAAAATTGAATTACAATAATCAATTCTATTTTGGCGAACATTAAATGTTAGCATAGATGACAAATTACTATTTTTTTATTTTACTGCAAAATGAAAAATAGGGCATTTATTAAAATGAAAAAAAAAAAAAAAAAAAAAGTAAAAGACTTTGAGGTAAAATCCTAGTTTTTGCTACAGCTTTGTACAATTTTGAAGGTCCCAATCACAGTATGTTTCGGCTACGCGGGACTTGACGTCGAAAAGGACAATTCTCAGAACCCGCACAATTCCAGGAAACACACATAGCTAGGTTACCATTCTCACTTATTACAAAGTCTTGAACGCCAAACAGTAATCGATTATCGCTCAAATCGGGATCACGTGATCCTTCAGAAGCAGAACTTTCGTCTGATTGGTTGTCGAGGTGGGAATTCGCTTCAGGCGGGGCTTTTTTTTCTAGGAACCCTCCCATTTAGACCAGTGCCACCAGAATCTCGTTTCTCAGAAAAGTGTTATCTAGCAGGGACTGTAGCCATGTGTGATAACCTCTTAAGAGACAGAAAGAGGTAACTGTTGTTACTGCTCACCATAATGTCGCCAAATCCCATGTGTACCGTACATGGAGGTTAGAATAAAAAAAAATATGTATTGTTAATATAAAAAAAAAACTTCTCTGCAACAGGAATGGCTCCATCCCAACATAGAGGGAAACAGCTGCGTATGCACAAAATATCTGTCGCCGAAGCTCGCGAAGTTCGAAGGTCAAGTTTATCAAGAGTACAAAACGAATAATGTTTTAAATTTCCTTAAACCTTAAAGGAAAAGAAAATATTTTTTGCGCGAGTAAATTAATAATAGATCGCTATTTTGAGCCAAAAAAGTACGAAAATGATTAAAATTTCGCAAAAGTCAAAGAACGTTCTTCTTAACACATGCTCCACAATTTCAGTACAATCGCGGAGGAGGAAATTCTCACCGTCAGGTTCTGTCACCAAATCCCTTGGTGAGTTTTTCCCTCCACTTTCTAGCAAACTGATTTACATTACGTCTATGGAACCTTTCTTTCATAATATAGACATTCTTACATTAGAACAAAGTACATGGGGGCTATTCTAGCCTCCATGGCACCGTATACTAGGATTAAACCGATTTTGTTATATACGAGAATGGGAAGGTATTTTCTTTAGTTCAACATAACCTGCACATGTGTGTCTTAGGATTCTGGAGGCTACTGGAAACCAAACTTGCTGGAAACTTGCTGTGCCTTTCTAAAAGACAATCTGATTGGAACTGCGAAAATTGGTTTAACGCCAGCTGCCCTAATGATGCTCATCCGATACATAATTTGCCAACAAAGTGATCGCTTCCAACACTGGCACAAAACTCGCTTTTTGGGGGATCGCTGTATGAAATTCCCTGACTTTTCCAGATTTTGACTAAAATATTTAAATTCCCCGACTTGACTTTTTTGGTCAATTTTCGA